TCTACAGCTACAGGGGTCCGATTGGAGCACTCTATGTAGTATGAAAGGCACACCTGTAAAAACAAACGCGTGCATCAGTTTTTTTTTCAAATTGACGAGTGGAGAGAAGGCAATACCAGTCAAGGCTGGAAGTGCAGGCAACGAGCTTGAATGGTGTGCTCGATGTTGAAGGGGTCAGATGAGGCGAAATGTGGAGAGGAAACCGTCTACTGCAGCTCCTTTATGATCTCCGCCAGCAAGAAGTAATCTATCCAGTCGCGGGTATCTATGCAACAAAGTAAAGTACGCTGTCAACGGAGAAACTACCTCCTGCTTTGAATTTGGCACAAGTGTTGGCGCAATGGCACGTGCTGCCAGCACCAAAGAAGAAGAAGAAGAAGAGGAGGAGGATCCGAGCTCGTAGACCGGGAACAAGCAAACCAGTATCCACGGAGGCAAGCGTTTGTATTAGCGTGCTGTTTACGTACAACTAGAGGATTTGACTGGTAGCGCTTGGCGATAAATGTTCAAATTCGGACATACAAAATTGGAGGGAATGCCAATCCTGTACCGGTAGTGAAAAGAACAAAAACATGTGTCGTGAATATGCAATTAAGGGCTCAAAAAGCTCATGCTACGCGAGCTAAGCCAGCATCAACTGCGAACTAACGACCAGTCATTTCATATACACAAGTAATACCCGCTATTATACGTTTACATCATATCACTTACCAGCGACTGCCTGGTCTTAGCGTCTAGATGCAAGACAATTCTACCCCCTTTATTTACGCGCGCTAAGCATCCGGTTTCCTGCAATCCCTCCTTGATAAGATAATTTAGCGCGAGCGAGTTTTTTTTCTCTCGGCGACTGTAAAACTAAAACCTTAAAACCTCTCCCAACCCTGATTCAATAACGCCGTGTTTCACGCAGAAGCTCTGAATTACACAACTGTGTATAGGGCGGTTGCTTTAATTACAGTGTCAGTACGCGCTTAGCATACTCAAAGTGTCAGAAAAAGGTACTTTTCAATTTGATCTGTAATATGAAAATATTTAGAATACTAAAAACAGTACCTATGGTAAAATTACTACGAAAGTACTACGAAGCGTAAACAAATTATATTATGACCAATAAGTACTAAAGTTCCAATTATTGCTTACAGATGTTGGTAGTAGTACTACACATAAATAATTTAGAGGTGCTTATTTAATTAAATGCATTTTATTACTAATACTAATTGCCTGAAAACTATTGTATCATATTTGCGTTAGCTAAAGATGCACAGTTTATTACTGATATTAAATATTAAAAAATAATATAGTGGCTTCCCACCATTCCACCCCACATAACCATGTACACCACTTCGCCGCCGAAAAAAGAGCGTTTTCCTTTGTATTTGCGCGTAGTGTGCGACCCTAAAAACATGGGCGCTCATTCGAACACGATACGTAGCGTACATGCAGTGGACTGGGAGCAGTGTTTGTGATTAAATTAGCGTAGAGGCACGTGGCTAAACAAGGACACGAAACACGGAGGAACACCGAGTCAGACTATGTACATAATGCGATAGAAGAAACAGCTTCAAATACGGAAAGCCACGGACGATAAAAGAAAAGGCCACGAAATTTCAAATGAACCACGGAAGAGCACGCCGTCATAAAAAACACGGAGCCGTTCGAAGAGACAGGAGCGCGTGAGAGCAGAAATAATGACACCCGTACATGCTGAAACGCACGAGACACGGAGAAGAGCGCACGTTCACAGTCACGGTAGACCACGTAGCTGTGCGATTGCACGGAAAGAATTTCCCCTACCACGGGTTACCACGAAACCACGGGAGAATATAAGCGGGAAATCACTGAACATTGGCGTACGATACCAGGGCAGCCCGGAGATCACCGAGCCACGGCACACGAGACTACGGTAGCTCACGATAGCTTGGACGACCGACCAACCTCAACACCACGCCATAAAATGACAGCATGGACGGTGGATTAACCACTAGACCATGGGAGAACACGCAGCCACGCGAAATCACCGATCCACGAAGCACGGCACCAGTGTAGAACCTGAGATCACCTAGCCTCGAGGGCCAATAGTACATTATAACACGATTGCACGGACGGCGTGCCAGTCACGAAATCACAGGGGAACGATTTGGGATACCACGATTGCACACCGCGGAGCCCGATACCATTGTAGAATGCGATCCACGGGCAAAGCAGATAGACTACGCGAGCACGACATCATAGGACAGCAGAACCACTCCTCGATTGCATGATAGCGCGATAACGCGGTCGACTATACCTCACCAGGAGAGCAAGGTACACGGACGACAGAACAACACCAAACCACGGAATTGCACACTTCGGCTAGCGTACCGGCGATGGAGGCCAACAGTCACGAAAGACTATGTACCACACAAATAGTGCATTCTACGTAAACGTTGGAAACAGGAAATAGTTAGCCACGAAAGAGGGACGTGCTACTGACGAGCACGAGTCCAAAACAGAGAGCGCATCAACGGAGAAGAGAACGATTCAAGGAAGAACATAGACGCCAACCAATAATACGGAGCAACTAAATCGTACGAAACCACGAATTCTTACACCGCCAAATGTGACTACGGAATGGTTGGTGTTCTAAGTACACGACACTACATTGCACGAGGATGGCCGAAGCCTCTGGGTACAAGATCAGCCTGAAAGCACACAGCACACGAAGTACTTAAAATTGCGGCCACCTCACCTCCGGCAAACCATGTCACTCCGCCGCGTAGCGGCGGCGGCCGGCTAGCCCCCCCCCCCCATCCCATCCCCCCCCCCCTCCTCGTGTGGTCTGCGTATGTCAGTCCGTCCGAGGGTAGGGTTAATATAGGGGGACGTAAAGTCGAGCATTCTACTGGCTCCCGAGCGCAGCGAAGGTGGCCCCATTGGCTAAAATCGACATTATGTTTGTACACACTGTATGTGGTATACACATCGTACCTAAAAGCACCGTTCAAATTTCATGTTGCCCCAATTTTCAACGCTGAAGCACCATCCCACGCAAGCTTCCTGTGTGTGCGTTAGTTAGCATTAGTAGACGGCGTTGATCAGCACACAAGCAACATATTGTCACGCAAGCTGTTAATAAAATTGCCGGGCCGTGGCGACTCAAATTGCGTCTTAATTAGGTATTTTAGTATCTTGCTGCGAAAACAAAAATGTTTTTTAGCTTCAAAGTAATTTAACATTAGTTTTACTTACAAGCTTTTTGCTGAGTACTATTCTAATAAAGCTCATTTTATTGCCTGCAGTATGTAGTAGTAGTACTTTCCATAATTAATATACCAGCATTAGATAAAATTGCTAAGCTTTATTACTAATACTCATGACTATACAATACAGTATTATATTTGCACTAGATAAAGATGCATAATTTATCACTAATTAAAATTAGTTGAAATTTTTTAAAATGTGAATACACCATCACACCCCACATAACCATGTACACCACCCCGCCCCGAAAAAATGTATCGTATTCCTTCGTATTAGCGAGCGTAGTGTGCGACCCTAACAGCATGTGCGCCGTTTCGAACACGATACATTGTGTACATCAAACGCACTGGAAACAGGATTTTGTGACTCAATTAGCGCGGAGGCACGTGATAAAGCAAGAACATGAAACGCGGAGGAAAACCGAGCCGGACTATGTGCACGATGGGATAGAAAGAGCAATGCGAAGCACGGACGATGAAAGAGGACTGAATCCATGAAGGTGCCTAAAGAATCTGAAAAGCACGAATCACGGACGAGGACGCTGCCATTAAATCTCGGAAGAACATGACAGGAGCGTACGGAATACGGATGGGGACTGCAATAATGACACCCCACATGCTGAAAAGTCCGTTGTACCGAAGAGCACGCGCTTTCAAAGTCATGGTAGAACACGTAACGGTGAGGGTGCACGGAAAGGAATTATCTCATAACACCACGGTAGAGCATAAAGCAAAGTCGACGAACCAAACACGAAGCCACAGAACCAGGGTGAACGACGGTTACAAAGCATGCGACTTCAAGAAGCACTTAATTTTGACAACCTCATCTTCAGCAAGCCATGCGCCTCCGCCGCGTAGCGACAGTGAGCGGGTAGTCTGAAACAACTATTGCAGCAACCTGTCTGTCCGTCACGCTTTTCCGGACAAAGAAATTATAGGATTTCTACTGGCTGCTGACTTCAGCAAAGGCGGCTTCAATTGGTTAATACTGTTTTGTGTAGCTTACATCATATGTTTCACGTATCCATTATCCGAAGGCAGCATTGATTAAATATCATTTACTATATTAAAAATAAATGCATTTTTTCAATATTTGAGTGCTAAACATGTAATTTGCTTCCAATAGGATGGGATCGATATTGCTGGTAACTAAAGTGTCCACCAAAAAAACAACTGCAAAAACTACTGTGCAATGACTATAATACTACTACCATAGTAATTCGGGTTGTCCTGCAAGAAACTATTGTTACTATAGCAAATTGAAAGCCTCAGCTGTGAGGCTACTCTAGTGTTTCGTGAGTTACTGTCAATCCCTGCTTCTCGCACGAAGAAAGATCCTAGCTTTAATGTTGCGTGAGTGGCTGGGATAAATCGTTTCTGGGAGGTTACAATACAGTATCATCGGATACAAAGTTGAGCAAGGTAATTTGTCTTCATCTTTGGTGGATGGATCAACCTACGTGCATAGTATAATTTGTGCAATGGATAAGAATCTTTTAGCTGAGCACTCAAACGATACCAAACTGTATTGACAGGGTATACCAAATCGCTGGATTGTCACGTCCAATGGTATTGCCGAATGGACTTTGGATAATTTACTGTTAGTTCAGCGTCGTACTCGAAATCACGGACCGTCTATGAAACTTAAGTCACATCAGCACAAAAGATTGTGATGGTCTGTCCAGATTGCCCTACTTACCCAAGTGTACTGCCTTTTTGAGCTTGTAAGTAACTAAAGATAGATCGCTTGGTGGGTTCGTTATGAGCAGCCTACGAACTCGGACGGACAACATGCGCGCAGAGATCCAGGTGCTTCTTAAACACAATCGCACGGATATTCGACGCATGCGCTGCAAGGTGCTTATCGTACACGCAAGGATGCGTGTTTCCTAGGACATGCTTTTAGTATACGTAGTACTTTCTAGTCAATTGTTTCTGCAAGTTACAATGACGAAAATTATAACTGCAACTATTTCGCTGTAAACATATAATTAAATTATCTGAGTGCGAGGCAACTAACTGAACTACCAAAAGCCATCCAGGCTGCTGAATGCTCGCACAACACCCGAACCTCTGAGACACAGACCTTTGCCGTCTTCGTGACCGACCATCAGTACGACGGTAATAATGGCTACCCTTACGGGACCTGTTCGGCCTACACGTGCGACCCGCCCACCTTGGACCAAATGGAGGACAACGACGGCTGCTGGATGTTCTTCTGGAGGTAAACGTTCTGTCCTCTTTCCACCTTGATTTTTTTTGAGATTAACTCTTCTCTCGCGTATATGCAGTGGAAATGGCACGGACAGCGGGGAAG